CATGTAAAAGTGTGATTGTATTTTATCCAGTATGATTTTTAAAAAAATTTTACTAAATGTAGGTAGCACGGATGTAGGTTTAAAGTTAGTTGGGTCAGATGTGCTACCCAATGTATGTAAAGGAATACTTTTGCTATATTTCATGAGCTCGGGAAAAATATCACAATCAGTACATTCATTAAATATATAAGCTAGGATTGGAGCTATTGTCTCAATTACCGATTTAGAAACTTCAATGGAATTACCCCTTAAATCAGCGGTTTTCTTTTTCTTTAGCTGATAAAAGATTTTATTATATCGTTAAAATCAATGTGTTGAAACTAAAATTGGCTTTTACAATTATTTAAACTTGCCTTTAAAATAGATTCAGCGACAGTGGAAGAGGAATTCAAAGATTGTGTAATCAAGACTGGAATTTCAGCAAATAAATTTTCAATATTTTTATCATTTATAATGCAACATTGTAAGCTATTCGTTATAAAACTGTATTATTTTTTATCAAGAAAGTATTAATTTGAGATAACCAACATTAGTACAAAATATTTTGTACTTTTATTATCAACTGTAACGGAATATCTCAAATTAACAAAAATAATTGCTTATTTCAGCAACAACGGTACAATCCTATGTTAACCATAGCATGCGATTACTATTTTTACTACAATAATGAGCCACATAAAAATGTCCCGTTATAGCTGCAAAAATAAATCACTAATAAAACAAAAAGCTGTATTTACTTTTCAACAAAACCGTGACACCATGAGCTGTTACATTTTTTCCGCAATCAGGCAGCACTTTCCTCCTCAAGCGAGCGGCAAAAACTGACATGAACCGATCTTGCATTGAACTTAGGAGCGGAAAGAGATATCGCTAAACCGATAGTCGCCATCCTTTGCCTTCATTACTCGGTCATTTTCGGCGCTAAAAATATCGCGTTTTAGCAGCAAGTAGAGCGCGGTGCCGAATTCTACTGTATTATTATTCAATAACGAGACATATTTGCGTTAACACGTTCTTGTCGCAAATGAGCGATATATCGTCATTCATCATCTCATGTCGCTAATAATAACACTTTGCAGGTTCGACTCTCTCATTTACTAGCAGTGATTGGCATGTGGATTCTGGTGCCACTTGTCATATGACCTACACAAGTTAACTAATTTCTGGATCTCGGCTGTGGCAATTCAGAGAAATGACAAAGGTACATTAGCTTTAAATGTATCTAATGATGCTAAGCACATTTCTAATGTTTTATTTGTTCTTGAACTATCTTTTAATATACTTTCGGTAAGTAGTTTAGTTAGGAGAGGAGTCATTGTTGTATTTTTTTCAAAAGGGGCACCAATTGTTTTGTAAGGAGGATGTTAAGTGTCATGCAAATTAAATAGTCTGCTTTTCTATGGTAGACGATTAGGTAATTTAAATTCCAAGGCCCTTAATATTTAATAAAATCGGAGCTTAGGTATAGATTATACAAGTCTATCTTTTAATGATATAATATAACTTGCGTGCCGTGCCTACTAGGTGAAATGCATAAAAGGCCATTGAGAAATTCGACTAGTAGGTCTAACACAAAGTTGAAATTGGTACATGCAGACCGTTCAGATGACCTCTGTGGACCGGCGAGTACCCACTCATGGGGAGGAGTACTTTATCTACTTACATACATTCACAGATGACTTCACGCGTAAGATATTCGACTACTTGCTCAAAGTACGAGGTTTTCATGAAGTTTTTGATTTGAAAAACCTTGTAGAGAATCAAACCAGCTTTAAAATTAAAATTCTACGCCCCGACAATGGAACTTTAATAGTGTTGAAGCAAATTAAGATTTTCATTAGAAGATCGATAACTAGGTATTTTACCTTATATCACCTTAAAATTGAAACATCGTCAGCTTTATAATCATATTTAATATAGCAAGGGCCATTTGCCAAATGGACAATTTCCTGTAAGGAAAGGCCTGTGTATTTTTTTTTCAATAACGAAAACAGATGGAAATTATGTGAGCAACTAAAATAGAAAAAGGAAGGGAAACAATGAAAGAAGATTTTAAATATAAATAATGTCATTCATTTGAATATTGTTTTGTGTTTTAGGTGGCATATAGTGTGGAGCAATGTACTCGTTTTAACCTTTCTCCATGTTTCATTAATTTATGCAGTATATTTACTACTAGCCGGCAGATTTAAATTATATACTTTTATATTTGGTAAGTGTACTTCTGTATATAGTTAAAAGTTCACCTATTATTTATATTACTAATTAAATAGCAACCACTAATAATAATTAAATAGCAACCACTAATAATAATTAAATAGCAACCACTAAGATTTTAAATATAAATAATGTTTCTACTTCATACAAACTTAGTTACGAGTATAAAAATAGATTTTAAAATCTCTGAATATTTCATGCTAATGAAATAATATTCTCTCTGAAAGTATAAATAGGGGCCAACAGCGCGCGCGCAGCTCAAAGCTCTTAGTCACCAGCTTAGTGTCACGGATACGAGAATATAATCTTAGTTATATTATATGTGAGTTATTTTCTACTATACTCTTAATTACCAAACAGGTAAGATTTGATTATTTCTTTGTTTGCATCGAATAGGTTCCGAAAAAAAACGAATCGATTTTAAAGGTTCATCAATCAGCGGCGAATTATTGCGGGTATTACGTAGGCGAAGTAGTAGATAATTATTCAATAGATTTTTTATTTATGAAGAGGTGACGATAATGTTCTAGTCTATGTTCGATTGTTGTGATTTTTATATTCACCATCATAAGCCCTTTTATGTCCCCATTGCAGGGGCTCAGGCCTTCCTTACGGATGGTTAAGTAGGTGGGCTATGACCCTCCACGCTGGCACAATGCGGATCGAACCAATGGCTTAACTTGTCATTCGAAGCATGGAGTAGCTCGAGATACTCTTCTACTCTTAGTAATAAGATTTAGTAATAAATTAACTTCATAAACCGATGTGCGAGCGAATCGGCCACATAGATCGAATATAAGCAACCATAGACTAATATCTTAATAATAATATTACATCGTATTTTTTAGATAGACATACCTACGTATTTACAATGAATTTACTTTCGCCGAAAAGGATCGTCACAAAAGATAACAAAAACTATAAGTAAGTAATAAAATTAGTAACTATATAGGTATATATATATATATATATAACTACTATATAAGTATATTGATGTTTGTACCACTGCTGCCACTGAATACTTATTCTAATGTCATATTTAGGAGACGAAATGCTGTTATAATATCAAATTAGAATAATTTATTAGTTCAAAGTTAAATGTGTACCTAACACCCGCCATGTGCAACAATTCAGTTTCTAACTGAAATGAATATGAATTCAATTAAAGACTAAATAGAGTTATAGTGTTAAAAATAGGTAGAAAAACTCACAAGTTTAAACAAAGACTTAAAATATTAAAAATGAGTTGCATAATAGTTGTGTATTTAACTGACTTTGAAATTAAAAAAGGAGGAGGTTCTATGCTCGCAAAGAATTTTTATATATGTTCACCGATTTCTACCAAAATTTAATCTCAATTTTTTTTATCGATGGCGTTTTGAAGTTGTTAATATTTTGGGTGAAACTCCGTCTGAATGCAATAGAATTTTCATGAACATATGAACCGCCTTTGAGGAAAGTATTATATTCATACTTTAAAGTCGGTTTTAATCCCATTTTTTTCATAAATGTTTATTATAAATAGTTGATAAAGTAAGAATGTATGAATTTACTGCTTTATAAATTCTATTTTATTATTTTTATTCTATTACTTTAAATTCTCTTTAATTTTTTGCCTTTATATATACTAATATTATGAAAAAAAGATACACTATAATTTACTCAGGCGAAGCCACGAGAAAACAGCTGGTGTTCAATTTTTAGAAAGGATTTTTTTTATAGCCGACCCGGAGCTTTTACTTATCAATTTGGATCTAGAATAAAAAACAGAAGATTTGATTTTTATTTTATTTTGAATGGTTAATTGTTTAATGGTATTTAACTCATCAGCTATGATCTATGGTCATTAATTTGAATATTGTCTTGTGTTTTAGGTGGCATATAGTGTGGAGCAATGTACTCGTTTTAACCCTTCTCCATGTTTCATTTATTTATGCAGTATATTTACTACTAGCCGGCAGATTTAAATTATATACTTTTATATTTGGTAAGTGTACTTCTGTATATAGTTAAAAGTTCACCTTTTTATTTGTATCACTAATTAAATAGCAACCACTATCAATACTAAACGAACTAAACCTATTATGCAAAGTCTACCTTCATCGGTTATGATTTCGAGGGTAACATATATTACAAGTAGAATAATAAGCTTGATAAAATTATGATTCACTTAGTAGTGTTATAGAAAGTTTTAATATTTTATTCGCCATATACAGTTTGCTTCGAAATAATTGACTTTCAAATGATTATTTATTACATAAGAATCTTGCGATTATTCTCCTTCGACGTATAATTAATCTGATATATTTATATCTATGCATGTATGTATTAAATGGTATATTTATATTTTTGTATGTATCTATTTAATATGATATGTAATATATTTGTTATGTGATTTATATATAATTATATCCAATATTACTTCAATTTTTTGGTATTGTATAGGTAAATATTTATATTGACTTTATTTAATATCATGTAGTACCGCCTTGTTAAAGTCTCTATTTCATAACTCTTTCAGTTCTACTGTTAGAGAATGCCTAATGGCATTAAGTTCACAAATTCAACTTTTATTGTGCAATAAAGTTTAAATGCATAATAATAAAAATAACAATAATTGTTTGTTTGTTGCAATCAATAGATTGCCAATCTACTGGGCCGATTTTATAAATTCTTTTACCTACCGGAAGCCACGTCATACGCGGAGGACGTACGCAATAATTTAAAGAATAATTAGAAATAAATTTATTTCTACAGCTATATTATACGGCACATTAGCTTCAATGGGAATCACGGCGGGAGCACATAGGCTGTGGTCCCATCAAGCGTATAAAGCACGATGGCCGCTAAGACTCTTCCTGGCAATTTTGCAGACTGCGACCTTTCAGGATCACATTTATGAATGGGTGAAACACCATAGGTAAGAACTAATGGACTACATATAATTCATCACATCTTGATTGTGTATTACACAATATTATAAAGAGGAATAATTAGATACTTGTTTTATTTTTGTTTACATTATCTGTGCGCATCATGGGCTATATAATATTCATGATGAAACTGAAATTGACATAATATAAACATAAAATAATAATATTCACACCTTTCACGATCAAATTCACGATCTCGTATTGTTAGAAGGAGACGTCACAAGTAATAAAAGCTGGCGAGTAACGAAAGATGTAGATAAAGAACATTCCCGTGCAGATCTTGCGTAATTTATAAATATAGTTAACAATGCCTTGGTTTACTAGTGCAATATATCAATATACAGAGTACCTTGAACAAATAAATTATTCGGTATATTATTTGTTGGGTGCAAAGTATTTCATGGAGGTATATCTAACGCAGCGCTCATGCGGGCATAATGCAGAAATAGGGCGCTTGTGCACTACGCTAAATTTTCATGTCCGGCGGTCCGATTTTTTCAGGTCCGATATGTCAGGCCATATATAAGTAATGCTAGCTTGTGCACTGTCAGGAATTTTACCGTGCGGGATTTTACTTTTCTCTATTCCGGACCGGTTTTTTCAGGTCCGTGATGGCAGCAATGAAAAACGTATTTACGCTTGTGCACTGCTGTGTCCGCGATCCGGAAAATTCATAAAGAATAGGCTTGGGAAAAAATAATCGATTTGTGTAAAATCGATATTTATTTCAGCGATATTGTAAATTTCCAATAAACTTATAATCGATATTTATTGTAGATTATAAAATGCTATATTTTATATGATGAATTTATATAGTTGGTAAATATCACTAACAAGCGATATTTACCAACATTTAAACATTTCATGTTATTGATATTTAAATATCAATAACAAGCGCCCATACTGCGAGCTTTGTCATCTGTCATACCATATTACCTACGTGCTTATATTTCTTTCGACCAAATTATTGTAAAAACTGTTTATGATTGAAAAATGAAAATAAATGTTATTTTTTTAATTTTCAAGTTAAATCTAAATTATAATTTGCATAGGAAATAATAAAAAAATAAATAAACTGTTTTGAAATATATTTCTATGTTTTCTTAATGATAATATTTTTTTATCAGATCAACATCACATAACATTTATTTTAAAATAAAAAACCAATCGGATTGATTAGTTTTGTTATTATTATCATGATTTTTCCAAGTATTTTCTAAATACAATGACTAAAAATAAAGTTTGTTTGCTTTTATCACTTAAGTACTATAGCCGTGCTGTATTCAGCTGCAATCGAATTAATATTAAAATAAAAAATCAGTAATACCATTTATAATTTCCAGCGCAGATTAATCACAGTAAAATTGCAACTAAAAATGAGTTAAACAAATTCTGACACAAAAATAAAACACAATTTTTAAATAAAATTTAGTTACTTCATTTCATTTCAATGAGTAAAAGTATTTTTACTACCCTCTGTCCACTCAGATCATAATATCGGAGTAGTTTTGTAATATAAAATTATTGGATAGTTATTGATAGATTCTAGAATAATACGTTTAATTTCAAAGTGTCAAACCTTACAAAGTTGAGGAGGCTGGATATCAAGCCACAAACAAAAATACTCGTACAAAGATCTTAAATTCATTCATTCAGAACCATTTAACAGCTTCGTCTCTAAGAATGAAGTTCCTCGAAGGTGCCTTTAGTGTAACCGGTCGCTGGACATTCCTCAATGATCAGTGTGAGTATCCGAATATTATTATTTGTATACAGTGACAGGCAGGAGAATCTATCCAACAGCAACGATAGCTGTTATGATTTTAATTTATATACTTAGTAATTTTATGAAATACGTATAATATTTGGTTACAGAGTTCATCATAAATACACGGAAACCGATGCAGATCCCCACAACGCAAAGCGTGGTTTCTTTTACTCCCATATGGGCTGGTTATTAATTCAGAGACACGATGATTTCTTCAGAAAGTACGACAACGTTGACATGTCAGACTTAGAGAAAGACCCCATCGTAATGATTCAGAAAAAGTAAGCTCAATTACTCTTAGCTTCTATTTTACCAGGTTTTTATTTAACTTAAAATGTATATGTCACAGTTAACTGAGCCCTTAGTGTAAGCTTTTTTGACGTTTACGTTCACTGTCGATCGTGAGCGTATTAAGATTTTAGTATGGAATCCGGTATAGCGCCCCTAGCGGTAACTACCAAGAAATACAAATTCTTAACGCGCTCACTAGTGAACGCGTTAGCGTAAAACTTACACTTAGCACTCTGGTTAAACCTGCAGTCCATTTGGGCGTCTTGCCATATAATTGAATGGCGCCATTCAATAACACGGCTAAACTTCGATTAGTTGAACACAACGTTCTACAATACTGACGTTCGTACAGTCAACTAATTAACTGTCAATGTATGGTGGAAGTGATGACCTTGTTTCGTTGGGGTGTAAAAAATCAATAACTGGCAAACTTAAAACTTTTATTACGTATATAATCTCAATTTTGCAATTTGGTTTTGAATTCAATAATTATGACGGTCTTTGGAAGTTATAGTGATATTTTTATTCTACTATTTCTGAAATTTTGGATTAGTTTTCTACACATTTCCAGGGTTATGCCAGATATTTCCTTAATAATTTCATATATATTTTAGTATTTGATTATAAATAAAAATCTCATTCAAATTTCACACACTTTGATGAAAAATCCAAATTTTATTTAAAAATAATCAATGATAGTGGGAGAAAATTATTTGATTTTGCTATTTGTGAATTCTCAGCATTGCTATTTGTGAAATTACAGCCTTAAAAACACCGACGTAAAAAATAGGTATTTGCTTATGCTGAAATATAATTAACACAACTTCTACGAGTATTATGCATTCACTGTGCTGAAATACATGTTTTACCAATTATAAAAATTTTCAGTTTTTAGGATAACCTTTTTAATCTTCAAATAAAGCAAATAATTTGCGCCTGAATCAGAGTAATATCAGCTGAAAAAGAGACTCTAACGCTCCTATTCAGCAGTATTTTAAGTGGACAGTTATACTGCGATTCTATGTTCCTAGACGTGTACAGTAGCAAAGTCTTTGTTATTTTCATCGCCGATATTAGTGATAAAAATATATTTTTTTTATCAAAAGCAAGCTTTTATTTGTGCGCTCTAAAACGTTAACATTAAAGTACTTATAATCAAAATTTTCTCTAATAGTAATTTACTTGAAATACCTATGTGTATTTCCTCGTCTCCGATTTCATTAGCGTTTTGTCTCATTCATTTCTGACATAGCATCTATATTATAAGTTGTTTTTTCCGTTAATTTTATATATGTTTTTGTTCTCATAAAGACGGATCTAAAGAGCACTAATTGAAATAAAATGTGATTTATAACTGATTTTGTAGGCAATTACTTTTGTGCAGGTAAGATTATGAGCAATATCCAAAGAGTGAAAATTTGGTTGTTTGCATTGAATAGAATCCAAAATGATTAGATCAATTTTGAAAATTCTTTCATCTACAGGAAGCTACGTCATACGCGGGTAATATAGACTATAATTTACCTGTGCGGAGTCACGGAAAAACAGCTTATAGTTTATATACATATATTTTTAAATTAAATTTTCAGAGTATATTTGATTGCAATGCCGGTTCTTTGCTTTATATTACCGGCGTGGATTCCCGTTTACTTCTGGAACGAGGATCCTTGGTCTTCGTGGTACATCGCTGCCATATGGCGCTGGGTAGTGTCTGTTCACTTTACTGCGCTCGTCAATTCCGCTGCTCACTTATGGGGAAACAAACCTTACGATAAGTGAGTTTATAGAGTCTTAGCAAACCGACGTCAGACTTTATTAAAGTGAGAAATAATTCTTATTATTGCAGTTTCTTGGATACTTAAATCGCGTAAAAGAAAAGTATTATTCCTCTCTTTTTTACAAAGTTTTTAGTCTGTTTTATTAAAAAAATGTATATACATATATATTTTCATATTAGACTTACTGTATCAAGTACAAACATATTTGATTATCATTGTCAAACAAAATTTTGATGTAGTAAAATGCCGTAATAAGATCACGAAGTTTTTAATGGGATATCGTATCTCTTTGTAGGCAATTCTCCTTTTTTTCTTTTCGGGGTTTATATTTTAAGTGACAGCTACGGGCATCAAATATGGCAACTAACTCTCTGTATCTGTGGTATCTATAGAAGGCGTTAATATATTGGTTTTCGATAAAACATATGATCTAAATATCTGCTCGGTGAATGCATCTACAATAAGTTAATTATATTTAGAATACAACCAAAGTCGATATTGATTAAATATAAATACGTAGGCTAGCCATAATTCTGCTACTGACATACATAAAAAAAACATTAATTTGAATTTTAAACATTCGTTTCTCCGATAAAGAAAAACATCTTTCCCACCATTATTGTGTATTTTTGGTTTAGAAATTATTTGTTCTGAAAATGGAGTGGGGCTAAAAATAATAGCATTGCACTATTTGCACTGTACAAAGTAGGTAAGGAGCCAGCCGACATTTTTGATACATTGAAAATGCTAGCTATTAGCCGAACGTTTGTGTATCGTATCATCCAAAGGTACACTGAAACCGAGTATGTTGATGACCGCAAGAGATCCGCCCGATCGTAGTCTTTTCGAACAAACCAGGTCGTTAATGCAGATAAGGCCAGAATTCGTCGAAATCCCATAAGGTAGCAGAATATCCTTTCCAAAGAAATGAGAATCCCACCGAGGACATTTTCTTGGATTATCAAACAAGACTTAGGTCTAGGAGCTTACCGAAGATACACAGGATATACCTTAAATCAGGCATTGAAACAAAGGAGAGTCGAAAGATCAAAACAGCTGTTACTTCCACAGAACACGGTTGTGTTCTGTTGTTACTTCGACGTAGCCAAAGTTCAGCGAGGCCATCATCCAGTGTCACCTACCAAGGGGTTAAAAAACTCAATTGTGGCGAAAAAGAAGTGAAAACTCCAGGCAAAGTGTATCATGATACCGTGTTAGAAGTGGTAGTTAAACCTCTCAACAACACCTTATTCAAAAACGAGGTGTGGACATTCCAACAGGATTCGACAGAAAAAAAAATGAAATCGCTTCATCCGTTCGGGAGCTATGATGCCACAGACAGCCAGACACACACAGAGACACGTCAAACTTGTAACACCCCTCTTTTTGCGTCGGGAGTTAAAAATTAACTTTCTCTATTGTCTTGAGTCTGAATTTTGTGTAACTTTGTATCAGATATTCCTTAATATGTTTACTTTGCTTTGATTAATCTCATTAATATTATAAATGCGAAAGTTTCCTTGTTTGGATGTTTAGATGTTTGGATGTTTGTACGTGAATCACGCCGAAACTATTGAACGGATTTTGATGAAATTTGGTATACAGATAGGATGTTAGCTGAATTAGATAATAGGATACATTTATCCAACTAAGCATTTCCCTAGGGTCCACGCGGGCGAAGCCGCTGGCAAAAGCTAGTTATCTATAAATCTAAGATTTTTTAGGTCGTCCAACATTTATTTAATATTAATTCAAATTCAATCATTAAATTATTTTTGCCCTTTTAGATATATAGGTCCAACTGATCACTTAACCGTAGCACTTTGCACATTTGGCGAGGGATGGCATAACTATCACCACGTCTTCCCATGGGACTATAAAGCGGCAGAGCTGGGAAACTATTCTACAAACATGGTAACAGGACTAATAGATCTCGCTGCTAAATTGGGTACTTACTTTTCATTATATTTGATTAATTTTTCATTCACAATGCTACATTGGAAAATGTTCTTATTGAAAAATGCTTAAAAATCAACCAGTACTCTGACGTTTTGGTGGATTGCCTGAACATTGATGAAAATACGCTTACTAGAAGCGAAAAGTAACAAGTACTTGAAAAATTTGTCAGTCCCGTTGGGTCCTGGGCAGTGAGTTATAGCTGTCGCCCTGATTGAGAAAGGTCCAGACTATAATATTAAGGGCTAAATTTATAATACTCACTTGGAAAAATTAGCTGTGTTATTCTGTAATAAACAATATAAACAGTAGAGGTTGCATCAAATTAAATACACTTCAGAAGGCAATAAAGGTTATATAACATTGAAAAGGTTGATGAGTTAACTGAAAAGGTGTTATGGCTGTTAGCAACAGGTATACCTATACGGGCGTTACCAAATCGTTATTGTAAATAAATATACTAGGTATTGTGACAAGCGCATACAGTGGATATATTGGTGAATACTATCTTCATTGAGCGTATCTTTGTTTACTAGTTAAGACTATGGATCTGATAGGAAAAAAGGCGAAATTGTTAATAATTTTCAGCAATCAGTATAAAATTTATTGATTATTTATATTTTCACGCACACTATTTATAACTGAAACAACTATTAAACGGTTTCATCGATTTTGTTTTCAATTTTATAGATGTTTCGGAGCCTTTACATGTTCTGTGCTCACATAAGACTAAGGTGTTGGTTGTCTTTTTAATTAATAGTATAGTTACCTTCAAACCAATACTATTGGACACATTCATAATACATTTTTTTAAATATTTTAAACATACATCGGACTTATTTATTTACCCCTGGCTACAAAAGACTACCAAATATGGAAGGGTCCGAAACGTCAATAAAACTAAATACAAACGCGAAGCAACCGTTTAAAAGGTGTTTCTTTTATTAATATGTTTTTTTTAGCTGGCTGATTAAACTGGTAATTATATTCCTTTTTTTCATCGAAATCGGAGAGTAGTAGTGTTTTACATAAAGAACTACATACTGATTTCTTTAATAAACGACTTAAAAAAATTGAATTAAATTCTTAAAAAACTACAGGGCGGTTAATAAGTTTAATAAACTTCATTTGAATGACCACAAATTCACTCCCAAATTTAAAGAAAGCTTCCATTATTTTTCGATTTCTTCTCTAGATATAGACTTCCTACCTAATAATTAATCACAAATACTTATCTGGACGTTGTTAAATATAAATAATTATAACGTGATAATGAAAATGAAAAATTCTATATAGTCTGCCAATCAGTCAGACTATAGTTTCTAATAAATAAAAGAAAGTATTTTCTTTTATTTATTAGAAAGTATAGTCTGACTGATATAGATATATATAGAATCTGACTGATATATATATAGAATATATATATATATATATATATATTTTCCCGGTTTCTGAATTGAGAGTTTGAAGTTGAGCAGGTCTCAAACCATGCTTAAGCCATTTTAAACGTCAATTAAATAGGTTTACACTACTTATTTATAATTTGTTAAAGATCTGTTGATAGCAATTTGATAAAACCAGGACTTTTTGCCATATGAAATGTATAAAACTTAAGTTATTGAAAATAATTTGTTGAGATTTTGTACTTTTATCAATTCAGAAACCGGCCGTTAGTCTATTAATTTCGTTAAAAAAGCTTACGCATCATCAGTATGATAAGGAAACGGGACAGGGATGATAAGAAGAGGACGCTTGAATGTGCTAGGCTAATAGGAGTTGGACATATTTATGAATATATTGTTGTTGGGCTGACCCAAGAACATGAGACCCATTAGTGTTGAGTACTATGAATTTAAAACCAACTGGACTTAGGAATTTAATGTAGATAATATATGAGTAGCTCGGTGGCGTAGAGGATAAGCGCCGCGGCCCGTTGTTGTTAAGCAACTTTCGCAAGGGTTGGTCACGGGATGGATGGCCAAAAAATTATTAACTCGAACCACTTCGTGCTTCGGAAGGCACGTTAAGCCGTTGGTCCCGTCTGCATTTGCAGGCGTTAAAACCCTCCAATCCGCATTGGGCCAGTGTGGAGGGTCATGGCCCATCCTCTTTAACCATCCATAAGGAAGGCCTGAGCCTGCAGTGGGGACGTAAAAGGGCTGATGATGATGATGATGAATATATATACGATTAACATAATCTTATGAATAAGTCAGATAGAGAACTAAATTTCTAAAGCACATTATTAGGTGTTAGCATATACCGGTCAAATCCAATGTAGTATTCTGTTGGATTGCGTTATCGTTTGGTTGCCTTGCATACCCTAATGAAATATGTTAAATACAAACGAACAGAATAAATTTGGAAATTAGCAAGAAGAAATCAAAGAAAAAGAAGTTGAGTAGTAGTAAAAGTGGAGTCAAATATTAAGAAGATTTCTTTAATCACAATTGAATTGGCGATCGTAATTTATTATTGTTCTCAATTAAATTGAATAGGAGAGTTTAATACACGGTGCTATACACCCATTATAATTCTCTCGCTAAAGTAGGTAGTAATAATTTTAGTTTGTATAACAATCTACTCGTACTATTAGGGTCGAACAGTTAGGGATTGATCGCGAATTTCCAACGAAAATTTATGATATCATCAAATTATAAGTGTTATAACATTGTACGACTACCTACCAATTACAGATACAGAACAATTTTCAATTACATTATGTCCAAAATTTAAAAAGACTTACTATTTCTCTTTTTAGGTTTGGCTTATGATTTGAAGACAGTGTCTGTAGATATAATAAAAAAACGTGCAGCAAGAACAGGTGATGGTTCTCATCCATCTACTAAACACACCAACGAATCTGTCGATGATCATGTCCATCCAGAAAAGCCGACCTGGGGTTGGGGAGATAGAGACATGACTGAAGAAGAAAGAGAATACGCGGTGATCCATAAAAATATAACATAAATTTATATTGATATAATTCGGTAATTTATTTGTTACACGTAGAGGTAGTGGAATATTATTATTTATATAAGGAGACTGTTCAGTTTGTTTTTAATCAATATTGTCTTTCATTAGACCTACATTATGACTGTTTTCCTAAATTATATCACATCAAAGATATCGTTGGCGACTGCTGCGAAAACTGCCATCCTTGTTTAAAGTTTTACAATTAGTCATATTCATAACGCTTTTTAGTTCGGAACTTTTTAGCACCGGTGTGCAAAATTCACAGCAAACTTGGTGCTTTTTTTTGACTTTTATATCTTATATAATCAAAACAATTGCTGTGATTATATTTGTATCATATATTTACGAGTTTTCATTTATCTACAGTCCTCGTTCTTCCTAGTTATCGGATATGTTTGAATTATTGTATAAACCACGAAATACTGATTTATATAACTATCTATAATTGTGAAACTACAATATCTAGCAACTGCTGCACTTAGTCCGAATCTGCAATAACTTTGAGGCCTATATATAGTTTTGAAAATCTATTGCAATCCCTTTTAATTTAATATTTTGAAAGATCTTGAACTTCACGTAAAAGCAATTGCGACAGCAAAGAATTTTAAGATATTGAAAAAACAATATTCGATCGTTATCGTTAATTGTAAATATTTTGAAAGCTATTAATGTGAAATTTTGCTAAAGTTTTATTCGTTCCAGAAACGATTGCCACTTTAAATATTACATAATTAGATTAATCGCTATTACAATTGCTTTACATTTGAAAGGGGTTACGATAGATAATGAAATTAGACAATTACACGAATGTCTGTGCAAGATATTAACTGAGTGTGGAATTTGTTAGAGATAGTATTTTCACCAACTTGTTAGATAGTAGTTTTACCATTATAGTAATGAACTTTCACAAGGTAACGCCTGATTCTATTAAATAGCTCCAACCATGAAGCAAATGTTTACTATGTCTATGCTATCTGTTTAATGATTATTTTTATAGGTTTTTGTTTAGCGATATATAATTCTCTTTATTAAAAACTAGATTTTGCCCACGACTTCGTCCGCGTGGTATAATTACTGTGGGCTGCATATATTTTCTAAAAACGCTGTTGTTTTTCGAGTTGATGATGAAATTACCTTGATGTTATAGTTTGAAGATACTACTACAAAAAAACAACAAATATCCAGTATGTTTCAGCACTTTATCTTTGAAAACTTTAGAGATATTAATCCAATCCAATTCGAAATACAGATAGAAAAAACAGTTCTGATGTTTACAAAAAATTTAATCGAAAACGTAATCTTACCAAAATTCTTTAGCACAGACTAGAAAAACGCCATCTAGTATTACTATGTTAATTCTAGAAATTCATGAATAGAAAAATTGTCTCTGGAGTTACACAATAAAATGTTAAGGTGATTTTTAAAATAAATAAATCCATATTCATATTCTAATAAAAAATATTTCATTATCCGAGTAATTTAATCGCGTAGTGGATAAGCGCCACGGAACGTGGTCGTTGTAGTTAAGCAACTTTCGAAAAGGTGAGTCACGAGATGGGTGACCAAAAAATTAGTATCTCGAGCTACTCCATGCTTCGATAGGCACATAAAGACCGGAAGCAATTGCAGTCGTTAATACCCTTCAATTTGCATTGGTCCAACGTGGAAGGTCATGCCCCATCCTCCTTACCACCATCTATAACGAAGGCCTGAGCCCTTGCAGTAGGGAGTTAAAAGGGCTGATGATGATGAATAATATTTCTATTAACAGCACAACATATATTTTTTTTTCAATATACGACTTATTACGTTAGATATATGTCGTGGCCATATCGTAGAATTACGGATTTTATGATCCGGCAGGCCATTTGATCATATAATTTTAAGCGTCAACGTTGGTTATATCATTAATGAAGGGTGTCCAAAAAATTTATCTAATTATTTGCTGAAATAGCTTGTGTATTCGTTAGTCTAGTTATGATTTTGTGATCTGAATAAAAACAACCTCAAAATTTAATACGATCGCTACGCTACGCTTCCAATCCCATCTTTATAATATCTAATAATATATTCTATTCCACTCTATATATATAATATTCCATTCCAGTCTCCTAAACCTGCGACGTATACATAAAACTATAGAAATAGCCTTCGCTGCTGCACTTTCGCACTGCACTCCTACATTTAAGTACCTCATTAAACTTAATCAAGAAATTGTTTTCCGTTTCTTAGTCACCCTAATTTCTTTAATTTGTTGTAACTAAAAATTAAAATAAATTATGTATCACAAAAACAATACGACATCAGCGCCTCTTATTAAAACTTACGTAACTATTTTACGATATGATCACTTACTCTTGGCCACATCATGATGTGGACAGCAGGATTTCATGAAATACAAACATTTCATAAAATGGCTGGCGGCATCATATACTTGGAAACCTGTACTAAGGTGCTTACATAATATGAATGGACAAATGTAATAAAATAGGATTAGTGAAATTTATCAACTTGAAAATCTTAGGTCAACAATCAATACTTATCCTCAATAAATTAATTACTGATGAAACGACAAACACAAATAATTCCGATTTCTTTAATCTTAACTTGGAGCAACATTTTAATGTTTTTAATTTAAAGCCTGCGCAAAGTTCTTTCATCAAAATAATAGCACGATTTAGAATAGACTCGCCATCAGATGGCTGAAAAGCTATTCTAGGTAAATTTTCTAGGCAAAAAATTTGAATATTTTTTATCCATTGAAATTTCAAAAATGTAATTTTACTCATATACCAATTTTCATCGCTATACAATAAAACATTTTGTAAATAATATTAGGTAAATTTATTACAATGACAGATCACATTGTAAACAATGGTTGCTATGGTAATATTTTGATTCCCCGTAAAATTTTCACTCCCATTTTTATCGCTTTAAGTGCTAGTTTTCGGCATAAAATATACTACTAATATTCTACTTACTACCTTTCTAGGGTCATAAACTACCCAAATACCAATTTTCATCGACATCGGTCCATAAATAAGGAAGTTTCATACAAACTGTTTCACCCTTTTTGACCCCCTTCGGGGTGGACTGTCCAAAAATCCGTTCCTAGTACACCTCTACGTATTAAGGGGAATGTTCCCTCCAAATTTCAAGTTTCTACGACCAGTGGTTTAGGCTGTGCGTTGTCTGTCAGTCAGTAATATAGGTATGTATAGATTAAAAAAAAATGTATATTAATAAATTTAAACTCTGTAGGACAAACGTTCATTTAGGTTTAATGACGACTTTAAGCTCTAATTAAATAATTTCTAATAATTGTTATTGAAATTTAACAAAAAAACCTAGTGTGAGATTTGTATTCATTTGTAAATGTTCTAGCACATTAAAAAGTCAACCAAAAAATAAAAATAACAAAAAACATACACAATACTATATGTATTTTTAACTTCCATAAACCTGGTAAACCAAAACTCAATTATTCGACTTTGAGCGTACCCTATTATTACACAAGTATTATTATTATTAAGTATTATTACAAGTATTATTTATCGTGCGTAACTGCCAAAAAAGATCTATGGGGGAGGCCTATGCTCATGTTATGGCTGATGATAATGATGAATTGGTTTTAAAAACAAGCTATCATTCAATATTACTCGTATCTTGGCAAAGAAATCTTATGTTGTAAATTCGATGGGGTAATTTCGTATAATTACAGAGGTCCCATGGCTATCTTTTGGCTCCATCCATTTATTCATTTATAGCTCCAGTTATTATGCTTATATCAGCTTCATTGAAAACCGATTAGTTGGTCAAGATTTGATCCACGCGATTAATTTAAAGAGATGAATTGAAACCTCTGTCCTTTTTGATATTAATTAATGTATAATTTAAAATTTCCTTCTTATGCTTTATATTAAAATCAAGAGATAGATGCTTTGAGAATATTTATATTAAAGCAACTAAATTAACAATTTATAAATACTTATGATACTAATTGAAATAAATAACGAAAGCTTACAAATACGGAAGACTAGTGGTAGACGCCTTTTTTATATTTTTAAATATTTTTTGGTCTGGTTTTACTAAACTTTTTTCTTGCAAACATCAGAACATTGTTGTTATTATTACCATAATACTGATTAATCCAATCTGAACTTAAAACTGTAACAGGTGTTTCTTCAATTAAATGTAAATCATTTTCTCCTCCTACATTCACATTTTCAGGTAGAGCAACATTATGAAACTGCATAGTATCATGAGCTTGCAATTCTTCAGGATTTTCTTCATTATCATTTTGAACTTCATAAACTTCAGGGTGATGTAACTGGTGATGGTGATGATGATGCTTATAATGCTTTTTTTCGTTTTTATACCCATGATTGACATACATAACTTTTTTATCGTATCTGTCATTGAAGGCGTTATTCCGTAATAGTGTGAAGATTGCTCCTGATAAAGCCATGTTGTTAAGCATACCAACAGCAATGGTCATCATTTTCAGGGCAGGCAAGACGAATGGCAAGACCGCAGACATGAGAAGACCGGGCAAGAGTAGATAAGGAACTATATTGTAGAATGTATTTTTCATTCCCCTCGATATACCAGTTGGTTGACCTGGAAATAGAAAAGAAAAAACAAAAATAAGATTCAAATTGATAAGAACATTTATTCTTAATGAGATATGCTAAAAACATCCACTTTGACCCACATCGCAGAGTGCCAGGGGCAAAGTGGTTTTTTTAAGCATTTTTTATTAAGAATGTTTTTCAGTAGCATTGTGATTGCAAAATTGAACAAATATAATAAAAAGAAAATTAATTCCGAGTGACGAAACAACTACATCAACATCTAAGGACATTAACAAGCTAAAGCCTACGTTTTCGTCAATTATTGATGAATGTGTGAATCGATGAATAGCTGAGGTGAGATCATCATCCCTTCTACCCTTTTACGTCCGCACTGCATGGGCTTGGGCATTCCGTAGGTTCTCCACGCTGGCTCAGTGCGGCTTTGAAGGTATTAACGACTGTGGATGCAGCCGGGACTAACGGCTTAACGTGCCTTCCGAAGCACGAAGTAGCTCGAGATAATTTTTTGGCCACCCATCCCGTGACTGACCGTCGCGAAAGATGCTTGACAACAACGATCGTGGGCGACTGTGCTTATCTACTACGCCAACGAGCTACTGATTGTTGTGATACTGAGAAATTATTGGCTCACTGACTGATCACGCAATTACGTCTAGTTTTCTCTTTGTCTGTATAAATCATGGACTGTCAGTTATTCATTGGTATACAGAATAAGATCACTAACACATTAACGATTCTGGATTAGCACGAATTTGGCTTAGATGTGTGAAGTATTTTGAAATGTCGGTATGATTCAAGTCATCATATTTGATGCAAAAATTGAACTGAAATCAACTCTTTTTCATTTATACTTTGTTAACGGATGTAAAAAGACAGCTTGTTTGTTTGAATAACATACATACTAGATAGATTAATAGGTACAAAGGGTGGCATTCTGTTTTTATTGGACTTTGACAAAACAAAAATATTTTACCTATGTAATTGTTCTCTGGTATTTTCTTGAAGATTACATTTTTTACTAAAGCGTTAGCTACAAATTTTTTAAGGTTGTTTGGGTTTATTTTTATCCCGTTCGTTGTTTAGTTGACCAAATTCGAAAATGACGGATGTTTCATATACTCTTACAAGTGAGTTCTCAACTTTGTCTGCAACATAAGGCTATTATAGATTGATTTAATCGTAACAACACACATAGATAGACAGAATATTATATGGAAAACAAAAAACATAATTATATGGAAATAAATGAATGAACACTTTATTGTACACTACAAAGAAAAACATGAACACAACCATAAATTTACAGAATATCGGCGGCCTTATTACTAAAAATCAGTTTGTTTCGAAAATTGGGTAGGTACATGGTGGATATAGAAGATGTAGAATTTGTTAGCCTATGATGGCATAGAAATGGTCGTGTAGTATTGGTAACCTGCAAAGCTCTTGTGACTTATATTATCTTAATGCTTAGTAAATGAAAAGTATTCAGAGGTATACTTTTCTCCAATTGTAATATAACCCATACTTAGGAATTATGACCATATGAAACTGGTAGCAAGTTCTGTTTGTTGTTGTATCCGACAAGCCTACTCGAAAGTTAGAGAGAGAGAGAGAGAGTTAGAGTCAAACAAAGATATTTTTATAGAGACTTATGTGTATTTATACTGTGGAACTCGGAAATTATCTAATGATATTGTAATAAAAGCTAAATCTAGTCATTGCTTTTTTTTAAATAACTTAAACATACGCTGGATAGAACTTACATAATAACGTATGATATTCGTAAATAAAAATTACGTAATGTAATAAGTTGAATAAGAATAACAAAACAATTAAAAATGCGGTCAAATGTTGTTTCCTGAATAAAAATTAATTAATGTTCATTACGAAATCATTTTTAGTTCGCTTATCTTAATAAAGTTATTATAATAAACAAAATTTTGTCGTTGATAATCTCTTCCTTTAAATTTATATAACAAAGTTTCTTTTTCTTAAAGTGAGCCTAGAGCTATCTTAAACAATTACTTGCATACTTAATAACGTGAATGTAATGTAAGAATGACTAAACAATGATATAGAGAAAAATTTGATACGGATACGTGCGAGTCAGATTTTTACTAAAAAGATCACATATCATCGCACAGTTTTAAAATGAATGAATCGCCTCTTTTAAGGTCTCATCGGTTTCAACATATCGCCACCATTTTATGTTTTCCACTCCCGGTCCCTGTTCATTGTAGGAGATTATTAATAATAAAAATAATAATAATTCATTTATTTACCAACCACTAGATGTACAATTAACAAAATAAATGAATAAATAAAGGCACACCGTAGCCCTAAAAAGTTCCATTCGGCATAGTGCTGAAATGTCATTAAGATACCTCGACGCTGATATTGCATGCATACCAGATGAGAAGTACACACTACTATGCAACATTCATATTTTTTAATTTACATTATTACATTTCCTATATTATCTCAGACATTGATTTTTTATTCTGTGGTCTCAAATCTATGTGATGTGATACCTTCATTGTTTAATTTTTCTATAATAAAGGCCCTTCGCCTTTGATTGTTAATTATTTTTCGGTATTTATTTATCTTTTATGAAATTCATTTGTTTTGTTCTATTATACGAAGAGTAATGAAAGTGGATAAGTCAAAATATCTAAGGGAGGACCGTGCTTTGTAGCGTTCGGTCCTCTTTACCTATCCCACAAAGAATACGGCATATAAATAGATAAATATTAGAGTACTAGTCAAAATAGATCCAGGGGCAAGTTGCTCTCCCCAAAAAAATACGTTTCGCATACCACGCCTCCAGTGCGGTTTATGTCCAAATTAATCTTCAATTGTAAATTGTTTGAACTACATTGTTTCATGCTTTCAGCAAACTTGAAGCAATTAATGTGAATATACTGTCAATATTGGATGAACTATTAAAGGACTACATATACATAAACTTTAAGCCGTCATTCAAGTTTATTGTCAACACCACCGTCATTAATGTATCAGAAGAACTATTAACTAATTTTGTATTTCGTATTCTGTTACAAAAGTATGTATGATTCAAAAGAGCTATTATCCATAGCCGTTTACACCATTTAAAAACATAGAGGTTATATAGGAACCAGTACAAGGGCCATAGTCCGCGCGGTTTGCGCTACCAGCATTTATGTATTATCTATGGTTGGCGCACTGAAGATAGGGTTTAGGAACACATGAGGTGTATTCCCTTGGGTAAGCATAATTATGTTCATACATATACTTCATATAATCGCTATAAACAAGTGATGATATCAGTGTTTGTTGCATGCATCAATGCGAAAGCCAAATAGAATGTAAAAATGTTTTTAACCAAAAAAGGATATAATAAAAATAGTATTCGTGATAATTATAATGGTGAAGTATACACAATAGATTAACACGCGATCGAAAAATATTATGGTACACACATGTGTGATTACGCGAGAAAACATTTAAATTAATCAGTAATTACCTGTCGAGTGAAAGTACGCACTAAAGCATATTCTGAAATATCGATTAACTACTTAGATATCTACAAAGATGACAGATTTGGTGTTTTTTTTTTGTTGCGTAGAGTTGTAAAAAACAACTAAGTACTTATAGATTAAAAGATATCGATTAGTTAAATTATTTATAAATATATTAACTAGATGGAACTCTAACTTGGCGCATCAGCTTAAATAGCGTTTATAAAATATATATTTATACACATTTATAATTTTTATGTTTTCTTGTAACAAAAATAACAAAGAACAGTTTCAACATATGAACTGATGAACTCACCGTTTAATACATCAACGTGCAATGTACCGTTTCCATTCGATGCAAGTTCAAATTCATAACCAGGTATCATGTTGAACTTTAAAGATTTATACTGAAGCAACTTGTCGGTTCCTTCACACAGTTGTCTCTCTACTTCATCCTGTGAGCGATTAGCATAAAGTTCCCATGGAAACTGACGGATATCATCAAGGAGGTTGAAATCGTTTGTTTGTTTCCTTTTTAATATGGACGCAGCTTTTTCCGCGCGCCAAATGCTTAATGCAGCTAAACATTTCGATGGTCCAATTGTTTGGGTGCATTCAATAGCACGATGGAGCGCACTTCGTGGTGAAACGCCGAACACTGTCAGCAGTTGAAGGGGAACGGTGTCACGCTCGCAAGACGCCGACGGGACGTCGTCGTGTGCGTGACAGCGTAACAAGAACGCGGCGAAAATAACAACCGCGGCGAGCGCACGCATCGCTATAGTCAGACTGGCGCGCGGCGGGCACACCTCACGCTGCAAAATGGAAGGGACGCATCGTGTGGTCAATGATCGAAAATCGTTCAGAGCTACGGAATAATTATACCATCGAATTACATAAAATAAGATCATTTGTTTAAATCGAATCGATTCTCATCAAGATTCAAAGTCAGCGGTTTTATTAGATTCATGATAGGTAAACATCGGTTTTTTTTTGTTATAACAGTGAAAGTTTTTAACATTGTTATTTGTTGAAGTCTTCTTTTTTACTAAAAGTGAGAGGCCATGGTATTTAAGACAAGTACATACAATGCATAAAAAGTAAACCTGAAAAGAATACTTTGAGTAGAAACTTAACTTACTTAAATTAGCATTAAGCACGGCGAAAAATAAAGAAAAAGCTTTCGAAAACGTGAGCTAAAATTTTAGTGATAAACTGCAGTAACTGCATTGATTATTGACAGGAAATGACCTGTATTGCCAAATTCAAGTTAATACTACTGTAGCATACATGGCTTGGTCACGGACAGTAGCTAGGGTTATCCACTAATCTTTTTTAAAACACAAATCTTTAATTACCGCAATAGTTACATCTGTTACATGTTATAAACAAAAAAATATATTCAAATGAAAAACGGACTAGAGCAGAGTTACTTCCGCACTTTTATTTAATTTAAGATGTCAAATAATATTTTTAGTATTTTTTCTTCAAGACATTAAGTTTAGGTTTTTGTATGATGAATTTTAATTTCTTAGATAAATTATATGTAAAAAATACGTTTGAGTATGAGTTTTTTTACTATCTAATTTGTCCCCAAAAGAGAAAAGAATTAATTTAAATTGCACAATCCCCTTTAAATCGTCGATTTACATGTGTTAAGTGGCTACACACACAATAACTCAATTAGTTTAGTATTGTCATGTGATTGAGCTTATCAGATAGACAACCGAATGATCCAATGACGGTTCCTTATTTCCTTTTTGAGGTAAAATCATCTATTTCAGGATGATATCATCCTACCTATTTAGTAAATAAATAAAATTATCAAGTAAGACAATTTTATTACTCTTCTTTCTTAATTTTTCTTTTAGCTTTTTTATGGGATAGGGGGCAGACGAACAGACGGATCACCTGATGGTAAGTGATTACCGTCTTCCATGGACACCTGCAACACCAGAGGGGCTACAAGCGAGCTGCCGGCCTTTGAGGGACGAATATGCTTAGATTTTCTTTGTTTATATATTGTTTAGCGGTCAGGATTGCCGAGAAGCAATTGGATAACGATCATCGTGGCGAATTTTGTAGGCCTTTATCCAGCACTGACGTTTTCTGGGTAATATGATATCGATGATGATGATAAAGTTTACGTCAAAACTAAACAAACATTTTTTGACAGCCCTAGTGATCGGCCCGCCACATTGTCGCGACTCGTCGTGCGCGGGCGCACACGTTGAGTTTTCTACTGCTGCGTGTATCGACTGATAATGTATTAATGCTAAAATCAATTAGTGCAAATAATTAGTTTAAGTTTCAAAACTTTTATTTGTTATGTAAATGAATTGGCTAAAAATAATATAATTATACTGATACAGAAAACCTGATAAAAACAGATACACAACAAGTTAAAGTTTCGTAACATGTAAGGATTCAAAGTTTATTTATTATAAATATGCGAAGTGGATTGAGCGGATTTTGAGTATTGAAAGTGAGAAAAAATGATAATTAGATAGTAATTCAATTTTGCGATCATCTTGGAAAAATACTTGAATATTGTTGATATGTAGATTTATTAAATATTTTTATATGAAAATCGATTTATTTACAGAATCCTAAGAATAAATAAATATGCATGTACACTCGGCTACATGTCAGGTTATCATAATATGTCTTTTAGTTGACATTGAACTCTACCTTCAAAACAAAATAGGTTTTAAAATCATGTGAATTTTGACAGATTTCCCTGACGTGCTATTACTTAAAATTAAAAATAATTGTGTATATAATTATCAAAATTGCACTTTGTGAATATAACATGATATTTGTACCCCTTAAAATTGCCAATATTATTAATTTATTAAAACGAAATACATAAACATAGGATAAATGCACTAAGTTGTCGATTATTACACATTATATAATTTCAATAACATATATTTCAGTAATAATTTTGATTTATTTTACCATAAAAAAAGGTGAATATAAAATCTTATATATATTCTTATTACAATTGCCAATCAAAAATTATTCCATTCGTTGTCTTAATGAACAAATAAAATTATTTCCTACATTTAAATTTATGAACATTCTTCGAAATGGTAAACGTATTTTGCTATTACATCATAATTAAAAGTAACAACATTTAAAAATAAAAATATCATACAGACGAATTACTTTTAAAATCACTATTAACCTTACAATTACAGTAACATACAAACAATTTCATGGCGAGATGATGGTAATTATAAAGTTTGTTCCATAAAGGTACTGTACCATTAAAACGAAACTACGACAGCGTAACAGTAATGTATGGCGTTAACAGGCGTATTATGTGAAAATAACTAACATATACTAGTTAATATGTTTGAATTCTCACGCCTCCATTTGTGGAGTTAAATGGGCAAAAGCGAAGAAGTTTAGTTTGAACTAAGTACTCAGTTCCAAACTTAAAATTATAAAACACTCTAAAACACTCTTGTAATGTACTCGAGTAAAAGCAATTAATTAAGTAAATATTTTTAACCAATAGACGAGAATTTGAATGATGTTGAAACTATAAATAGCTAAATAACTATAGTTTATGTCAACCGCGTATGATGTAGCTTCCAGTAGGTGAAAGAATTTTTAAATCGTTCCAATAGTAATGGAGCCTCTTTATAACTTACTAGCTATTTCCCCGCGACTTCGCACGCGCAAGTTATAGCCTGTGTCAACTTCGTATGATTAAGTTATTCATAGGTGAAAACTTTTTAAAAATCGATCCAGTTGTTTCGTAGCATATTTGATGCAAACAAACTAATATTATTATTAGTGAAAAGTTTATAAAACACTCTCGCCCGCAAAGTCAGAACGTGAGATTCTCCCAGCAACGAACTTATATCCATGCAGTTTTCACTAATAGACAGTGTGTCATAGGTGATTCATTCACTAGGAAAAGTATAAACTTTAGTACCTGATTCAGTTGACTTTAAAAATCAGAAAAAATAGACAATAAAATGATACGAGTACTATTTAATGTTCATAAAGTATGAAACTATTAACCGAAGTCAATTGGCTCACAAGCTAGTTTTAGTCTAGCGATTAAGCCAGTTTCTATGGTCCCGAGACCGAAATATATAATTGGAAATTCGAAACACACAGCAGTAAATAAAAAGTTTATAATCTAATAAGCCATGCTCGTACCCATAGTAGTAACATAGCAATAGCCATCGGCATGTTGCACAAACTTTACCTCATGACAGTTACTTGCATGCCATTCCCTAATTTTAAGTTGACCATAACATTGAACTCTAATTCAGCTATTCAAATTATCACTTTCACCCTACTCATTTGCGTCGATAAGGATCATAAGCCTATGCCCAAAGGAAACATAGGCCGTTAATGATTCAACATTAGTCCTCGAATTGACAATACGCTTGTTTCTCAAACTGTGTGGTTGATATTTTTACCTTGATACAACTTCATTGACAAGTATAATAATACTTAAAGTATATAAATACATTTATTATATTTGTAGGTATCACCTATGTTGTAAAAAAATGTTTTTTTATATTATGATTTAGGTACTATTTTTTTTTAACAATAAGTACGTAATTCAGCTTTCATGGTAATAATATACTTACTAGACGCAATGATGCCTTCGAGTAAGCACGCCGGTTTCAAATTGTCGCCATCTCTGTGATCATAGATTCGGTCTGTGGTATGATATTTTATCCGTGGGTTTTTTTTTCATGTTTGTAGTTTAGACTGCTATAAAAGAAGAAGTATTTGGAATGTGTAATGTAATGGCCTACCATTACATTACCAATTCCAAATACTTCTTTTCTTCATACCTATATAATGTATTGTGCTGTTTCTTTATTTTAACTTTTAACGTATTAATAACTAAATATGTGTCTACGTTTTTTCTATTATATTCTTCCCAATTTCAGGGCAATTTCAATTTTATATACAATCGAATATCAATTGTATATCTTTGTGTAAAAAAATTATTTGCTCTAATATCAATTATGAAAACATTTCGAGAACCACTGACCACTGACAGTATCGAGGACGACATTTCTACCGAGTCGTCACGTTGTCCTGCGCTTTCTTTTCTCGTTCGTTTGGTCTCGCCGACCATTGTCATTAGGGCGACAGTTTATATCCTGGCATCAGGCAAAAAAAACAATCAGTCATACTCGAGCTGGCATCGATCACTTATCGATAAACCAGTCAATCAGTGGTAGCCAAGATGTGTAACAAATTTACAGTGTTGACATTAGCTTACGTTGTTGTATTCGTTGCGACCGTGAAATGTGAAGAAGAACCAAAAGGCATAGTGGATTTCTTGAGTAAAGGTAGATTTTTTTTTAAGTTTTTAAGCACAATTACGTGTTCTAATTCTAAAAGTATCTCAGTGGCGTAGTGGACAGGGCTGCGGCTCGCAATCGTTGTTAAGCAACTTTCGTAAAGGTCACCGGATGGGTGACCAAAAAAATATTATCTCGAGATACTACGTACTTTGGCAGGCACGTTAAACCGTTGCTCTCGGCTGCATTGGCAGTCGCATTGGGCCAGCGTGGAAGTTCATGGCTCATCCTCCTTAACTATTCTAATATCTTAATCTAATGGTGGAGATGGGTGGCGCAATCCAAACCTGGTAGAATTTCTCAGTCTTGATTTTATTTGCGAATAACATACAACGAATCACTTATAAATAAATGTTAAGATATTAACTCTATGCCGGTCTCGATCAGAAAGAGAATATATTCACCAGCAAAACGAACACGCGAATTCGAATACGAAAAAGTGATAATTCAAAATATTTACGGCCAGCATTGACCATAAATTGTCCGAAGAGTAAATCTATCTTTAGTAATGTGTACGGACATTACACTGCCCATGAGGAAGGCCAGAGCCCCTGCAATGAGGACGTAAAAAAACCGCTGATCATGACGATTAAGTGAGCTAATGGTGAATTTGAAATTATATTTCCATCCAAGTTGCATCTCGACGCGTTCGATGGGGGGCTCTGCCTGTTCAACAACAATTAAGGAGCGAATAAGCTCTCACAAAGAATGCACTAGCATCGTAATCAGAAAACCGCTCACAGAACACATATAAAGCAAAAAATAAAATAAAAATTGTAAACTTATTGTCATCAGCTATTTGGTAGTCTTGCCATGATTTATAGAACACAGAACTTAAGAGTGGTGTTATAAACAAACAATAAAAATCGTTACAGTATCAAACAGATCTAGGTCCTAGCTATATACAGATGAGTAGGTATAACTCATATATTACAAACGTTCATAATAATCATAGTTGACCTGAGTAGGTGCTTGAGCAATTTGAAAGCCAGTTTAATAATATCAACTTAAAAATGGAGAGGGTGCATTCCATAGTTACTCATATAGCCTGAAGAGAGAATTCAAAATTAAATAAGGATATAATATTTATTTTCCTACATTTAAGTCTATCACATTAATAAAGTTCTTATCTAAGATTAGGCACTGAATCATGAAGATTAGTGTACCATTTCATAATGATAACTTCTCTCTATATTTACGTAGGAGATGGTCGATTTTGCCCCAGAGTCGTGAAGGTTTGCATATGTTAAACATTCAAGCAATAATATTATAAATACCAAGCAAAGCCTAGATTTATATTTTTAACGCAAAATGTAGGCACATCCCATCTAGTGGAGAACAAAATATTTTTATTTTTAGAATAATTGTGTCAAAACGGTAGCATGGAGGTACTAACAAAACAGTTTTTACATGATAAAATAATGTGATCAAAATATGCTTTAACTTGAAAACGCCACTAGTTGCAGCGTAAAATAATATTTATCGTCTTTTACAACAATATAGAAATCTAAATTTAAATGAGACTTTTACTTGTGGGGAAAACTATATATGAAGCGTCCTTTGCTTTAAAAAATAAATACTCAATAATAAT